TTTGCTCTCTCACTCACTCGCTTGTTCGGAATACAGCTGTTGTGTTCCCTTCTGTGAGTCTTTTCTCTCCGACACTAGGCACTGGAGCGGGTCAGCAGCAGATACCACAGATTGACAAATCAGCAGATATAACAGAATGCATCGCACCCATAAGATAAAGACAGCTGGCGCAGACAGACGAGTAAGGAGAGTTAGTTAATTGGCTGGTTGTCTTGCAGACCCGTACATTTAAAATACCACCGGGCCTTGCGGTTGTGACTTTGTGTACCACGCCATACATTCGTGGGCATCCATTTCGCCCATATCTGTTATTGTCTATCGATAGTTGTAGAGAGCAGCGTGTATTGATCTAGCTCATGATTGAGACTCTTGAAATTCTTCCTCGGACCAATCTACCAGTGAGGCTGCCGCCGAGCGCCAGTAGGACGTCAGTGAGACTGCAACTTATTGTAGTATGGGCCTAAATATTGTCGACTCGGAGGGTATTGGCAGGTGCAGCTACTGGGGAACAAGACGCGAGGGGACCACGGATAGTCCAGCCTGGGGAGGGGAGTACCAAAATTGCCAAAAGATGAATCACTCTTGCAGACAATGCCTTTCAATGGTCTTGAAGTCATTGGAACCGAGGGAAAAGGAACATTTTTACCCAAATAGATTAGGAAATTGCACTGACATGACAAGATTGGGAGGAGAGCTTTTCATCCAAGGAGAGCGATAACAACTTCGAATTAATACCGGAGCGCCTGTCAATGCCGATCCACAAAAATAAATCACAGCTGGCCAAATCGATTGATCGGTTGTCATGCCGCATATTTGGAACGGTCCACAGACAAAGCTTCCAGGCAAGATTCGATTCATCATGACAAAGTCGTCCAATGGTGAAATGTTCCTGTTGAAGTAGAGTCGACTCCAACCTTCGGATCATTCAGGACTAACCGTAAGAATTTCGTGCACTCTGTTACATAGTTGACCATTTTTTGACAACTGCGCCTCTGTTTTTATTTCAGAGTTGTGTCTTGCTGATGGTGTGATGCAACCTCTGTGTCGGACCTTGGGATTCCGCTCCACCCACTATGGTATAACAGAAGACACAGTAGACTTTACGGAGGAGGATGAATATTACAAACGCAGGGTCATCACAGAATGTCCCACAATTTCGGGCTAGAATCCTCGTGAGGGGCAAGAAGCTCAAGCTATAGATACTCGATCCAGATTATCAGGAAGGTCGGCTTCCTGAAAGCAACCACTGAATGCCCGGAATCTACGGAGACTCTCAGCTCCGCTGGGTGTTGACCAAACAGACAACGCCTCCTCAGTATGCAACGCGTCACAGCCTTGCATCAAACCCAGACAGCGTGAGTCAGCGTTGATCAAGGACAGACAACGCGTCCGCAATATGCAGCACGTCGATGCCTCGTACTAAAGCCAGACCGCGTGCGTCAGCATTGGACCAAGTTCAGACAGTGTCCTTCCAATAAAAAGCTTGAGGCCGTTGTACTTTTCGCACTCGCACGCGCTCGCGCACTCGCAACCACTTTTTTTGGGATATAGCTACTGTGTTCCCTTCCGTGAGTCTTTCTCTCCGACACTAGGCACTCGAGCGGGTCAGCAGCGAATAGCACAGGCCGGCGAATCAGCAGATATAACACAGATTGACTGAGATTCTGACTGATCAAGGCGTGCCTTCATGTAGCCCGTAGCCGGCACGTCATACATCCGTCCAATCGACGTGATGTTCGTTTATTAGGAGTGGCTAACCTCCGCAAACCTCCCGCATGAGGACGCTGTTCAAGCGACCGCTGCTTTGAACTCAATTGTGACGACGCATGGAGGTGCTGTCGCGTGTCGATCCACCCCCGGGGGCAGTGAGCATGCTGACATGGGATCTGATGCCCTCACTTCCGAAGTATGTCACGGGTGTATGGTGATCCACGCGATGTGTTCCCCTTGTCGAGCAACAGTCTGTTGTCTAAAGTTTGTTTGCTTGACGTGACCGTGCCTATAATATCATGTGCGTCACGTGCCTGACGTATTATTTGACTCTGCGTCCACCGTGGACATCTTTTCCCATATCTTCCATTCAATATATGACCTCTGTGTGCTTGTTGTGGTGTCCCTGTTGCCGGCCCCTCCCTCTTGACTTTCCGGTTCACAGTGGAGCGATTCGCTGAACCTGGCAGTGTAGACTGAAGGGGTTGTACAGTGGGTACAACTCTATAGGCAGGATTCGCCAAAATGGATTGAAGTGAAAGCGTTACAGGTGCCGGGCACTAGGAGCCGAATGGCCACTACCCCGCGTATTTTCACACTGGTTTCCGGTTTGGCCGTAATTGTAGCGACCACAACATCGTCAGCATGTAGTGTTCACATGAACGTATTGCAGCCATCTGCAGTTATTTCGTTGGTCCAAGAGTTAAAGTTCATTAATCCAAACCAGGCCCAAGAGATCAAGGCTTGTATAGTTAGTGAGGCATCATTGAGTTGCATTTCCTTGAATGAAACGGAGCAGTTCAGCTTCCTGATCAGTTTGACACTTTCACCATTCGCATTACGAATGGTGCACTCTGTGTCTTCCGCTTGTTTTATTCCAACCTAACATCTACTAATATGTCAGTAAAATAAATCAAATTTCCCGTTTACCGTCCGACGAAAATACGGCACAGAATCTTGGAAATTTTCAACCCCTCGATCGGAACTAATAAGAATCTTATCTGCCAAAGATATGGTATATTCCTTTCTATCAAGAGAGCTTAGTGGACCAGACGTGAACCTACTGTCCAGAAGGTCAGTGATTCGAACCCACACACGGCATCACAACTGACCCTGCCTAGGGTTGGGCAACCTGGCAGTGTCTCAGCCCTCGTGCATCCTTCAGGTGGCATAGCAGCTAGGCAGCAGAAGGATGTTACAGCTGGACGATCATCGTTACTACTACATTCTCGAAAATGTTGTGAAAGTAAAACAATATTACGTGGAAAATACTTGAAACCGATTTGGGTAGTCATCGTTTTCGAAAAAGTTTGGTGACAATCGGTAGATTTATAAGCTATTCTCAGGGATATCATGTCATTCTGTCTTCATAGTGCACATGTGTCCTTTAGCATGTGGAGTTCTTGGACACGCACCCTTTCAGAGTAAACGGAAGTGCTAGAGGTTGTAGGGCGTTTCAGTTAGCTCAGTGTTAGTGATAGCTCCTATAAAGTCAGTGTACGGGTTTCAAAAGCTCAAATCACAATTTTCAGTTTGCATCCATTGTAAACGTCGAAAAAGCATATCTGTTCGTACCAGGCTAGAGAAGTGGCTGCGTTTTTGTATTCTTACGAGACATGGTCTCTGCTGGTACCGAATCCACACCAAGCTTCCTCAAGGTCACACTAGCTGGTGTCATGATATGCACCACCTGTATCATGACAACAATGTGATTGTGGAATGGCATTTAGAAAGCGGGGTTTTAGCTGCGCAGCAGGCATTTCAAATGATACGCCCCATATAGAACCACTTCTTTCGGCCATAGGCTACACATTCCATCTGTCAACACAGCTGCCGTGTTCCAAACTGGACAGCCTGTGAACTGACGGAAAGCTGGAAAGGAAAAGCTCGCATGTGGTTTGTTTGGCCAGAAGATATTTTCCATTTCATTTTAGCCAGCGTCGTCAAGTTTTGCTGCAAACAGGCTATTGTGATGATCGAAACCTTCTTGCACATGTGGGACATATCTGCGTTGTAGGTAGGTTAACGTGTGTATTTAGGGTGGAATCCTATTGCCAGATGGCGGCGCTAACGATACTGGGATCATACTTGATCCATTGCTTTTCCACTTTAGCAGTATGCTCCTAATAGTGTGGAATTGAGCGACCCAGTACAAGCCAATACGAGCTTAAAATAATCGCGCGCGGTTGCCAGAGATAATGAGCTGGACGGTAAAAGGATCTGACGCGTTATAAACTTCGTCGGTATCATCATCAGCTCTCGCGCTCATTTTGGAGAATGCAACATCAAAGAGTAAGCGGTCATGCTGAGTTTGTTTTGCCTCTAGGTCTGATCACCACCACTATCACAACCGTTACCCTAACGGCTGGACCGTTTTTGCGAGCCAACCGTCGATCTGTGGGTGATCTACGAGTACAATGTACAATGCGAACAGTAACTCGCTGTCCTCCCCCACTCCATCGCCCACCACATAAGGTTGTTTTGCCTTTTCTACTTTCATTGTTGCTGCGTGGCATACGCACAACACACAGAGACAAACACATTTCCGGTGAAAAGTGATAATTTAAGTGCTCGTCCCTGGGAAATCTTCATCAGAGCTTCAATGTGTGTTTTGTGTGTGTGTGTGTGTGTGTGTGTGCTCGTGATGATCACCCCCGGTCGAATTTTATGGGCAGTGACCTTGTGGTGTGTTGATGATAGCAACAGTATCTGAGCCAGTAGTAGGAACATAAAACGTATTTTAGTTGGGGTTTTCTGGTACGCGTACGCACACAAACTGCCAAAATAACAGTATATGAGGGTGATAAACATGAAGTTTGGTCACACAGCAAGGAGATGAGCGCTATTGTCCCACGGTTTCCGCACCTACACAGCGGAAAGCACTGAGAGTGGCTGATTCGATGTTGCAGTAACAATTGTCCCATCAGGCCAAAGAACAATCGTGGTAACCACAGTGGGTTCACAAGAGTTACATGATATCTGAAAGTTCACACAACTGTGCGCCATAGAATGGGGAGCTGTGCGACGTGGGAGCGTACATGGATCGCTGTCATCCTATCCATTAATTATTTTGATCCCGTATGCGCCCAAAAGGTTATGAAGAACTGCATTGTCCTGCTTAGAGGTAAACGAATGTCTGTGTCATTAAAGGAACTGCTTTGGAGATAGCGATGAAAACTTCGATTAGGAAGAAGGATTTTCAACTTTGGCAACTAACAATAATTTGCTTGCGTTCTATACATTCCGCAAGACATGTAAACAAGAACAGGGCATGACAAGCAGTTTGGTTGCTAATGGATTCCCACCCAACTGCGCACTGATGATGTCTCCTCGTATGGTGACGAAACGTTTGCAAGCCAGTTGCCAAGCTCGGCGAACAGATCAACAGCCATCTGATCAACAACCAATAAACTCACCCCCCCCGAGCATATTTCACCACATTACCAATTCCTTATCTTTCTGTTATCCGTCCATCGACTTCTGTCATCCGCCTTTTGAATCAGCTTTCCGTTGGCACATCAAGAAAATATGTTGATATTCTACATCACGATGGTACCATTAACATTTACACGGTCTTCCAATTCTTTGGATTCCAGTTGTTCTGACCTCATCAGCTCTTATGTTCTCTCATTTATTGACAAAATTGAAGAGAGGTAGAATCCTGAGGCACAAGCAATCTTCAAGCGCCTGTGTAACTCGATCGGACAGATGAACGTCAGACAAGAAGACTGGGAAATAAATCAGATCTATTTGATTAGGCCGATAAATTTTGTAAACACATTGGAGATTTTGAAATTTGAAATCGGGTTTCCATCCCAAAAGAAGGGGATATCTGCTCAGATTTGAAAACATCGTACCGTATCGGGAAATGAGAAGTGTTGACTCTGATCGCGAGCTCACCACATTATCGATCAGCCACTGGTTTCAAATCTGGTGGTGTACAAATGTGCATAAGTGAGTGTTTATCGATCTCATGGATAAGTACTCCCCATATAGACTTTCAAGTAAGCCTATTAAAACAAAGTTTATCAGAAAAGGCTATCGAAATGGATCGGACATCAGCAACATGGATAGTGAGTGCTACTGTCTAGTAGACGGTGATATAGCAAACTGCCTTCGTAAGTAAACAGTAAAAATGACACCTCATCTAAATGAAACCTATATGTTGGTTTGATACGATGTTTTTTTAAACCCGAATCCAAAAGCAGCAGACAGCACAGTCGATTTCCAGATCTTTCGCTTCTACGTAAGCCTCGATGACCAAGCACAACAGCTACGCAAAACAGCTAACAACTGAATGCACCGAACTCCAGGCAAACTACTCCCTTCACACGATGGTTTCCCCAGTAAAAGTTACCGTCACCCGGGTTATCTTTCTGATGTACGGAACCATGCCTATTGAAATCACCCTCAAAGAAACAACGCTTGTCAGTCGAATGAAAATGTTGTGGTTCTAATACAAGTGAAATATTCTCAGAGAAAAAACACTATGATAAAAATACCGTATTCTGCTGATCAAGGTTTACCAACCGATTGCCACGCTAGTGGATGATGTCATCATGCTTCTCCTTCTGATTACGCTATCTTGGCTTCAGCAATTTTGTTAGCCGTGCACCATTTGTCAGTGTATATCTGGCCTTCGGTACGGCTTAAGCGACTCATGGTAAACCGCTATTAACCGGGCTCTCAATCACTATTGTCCCGCTATGCCACTGTGAATCGTTCTGATAATTTATTTTGTTCCACAATGTTTGGTTGAATGTAAGGAAATGGAATGAAATTCACTCTCTCATGAGGTGATCTGATAAGAATTTTTTTTTCACTTTCAACACTGTCATTTCTCAGGCACACATTTTCAGGATCATCGATCTTTTGGAACATTCCTTCCAGAAGATGACGACATATAAACATTGTTCGCAGCACCCGGACAAGACTGAAAAAATGTCACTATCTCGTTTCAAAGGCCAGTTATGAGGCCTCATCAACTTACCTCAGAGAAAAGAGGAACATTCGAAAAATCTCCCAAACGCGCTTTATCGATATGTACCAAACAAAGTTTTAGAACTTGAATACATTTAAGCTCCGTGATGAACGTGTTATTTTAGAAGGAGAACCACCTTTTGAGGCTCCGAAACATCTCAGGGAAAACCTACTTTAAGTGAAGGAAGGTGTGTATTTACCTGATACGGGGACTCAGAAAAACCCAGGGTGAGTTTTACTTGTACCTTGGGGATACCTAGAATTATATTTGCTGGAATTCTGGGTTAAACTCCAAGTAGCTGAGATGCTCAAGCCTGTGAGTGATCAATGGAGAGCACTGTTTTTATTGCAAGTCACCCGATTTGTCTTTAGCTTAGTGGGTAGTGTAAAGCCTGAAAGATGTCCGAAAACATGGTAATCGTTTCTGACAAATACTTCCATTTTCATACAAATTTGGTTTTGACTGAAAAATTAATTGAATCCAGGCGAATCTCTCATTTACGATTGCATGCGTCAACTGGAGGGAGAAGATAGGATTGACGAAAACACCGAGACTGCGCACATCTTATGACACCCAAGAAGAGCTTTATCGAAGAGTTTTTTCAACAACCCTGTGAGTAGTGTGTTGCGCATAGACAACATGGGATTCGTTTATTCGTCAGAAAATTGGTCTCAAAAGCAGCAGTATGTTTAATCATCTTTCAGGGTTTTCCATAGAGGAAAATGTCGGTAGCTCAGGTAGCGTAGATGGTGGTCGTTGGCTTGTTCGCTGAGCTGGGTAATTTGATTGCAAACGTTTCATCACCAACCGAGGTGACATCATCAGTGCGTTATTGGTGAGGAAACGTTTGCAATCAAATTGCCCAGCTCAGCGAACAAGCCAACGACCACCATCTACGCTACCTGAGCTACCGACATTTTCCTCTATGGAAAACCCTGAAAGATGATTAAACATACTGCTGCTTTTGAGACCAATTTTCTGACGAATAAACGAATCCCATGTTGTCTATGCGCAACACACTACTCACAGGGTTGTTGAAAAAACTCTTCGATAAAGCTCTTCTTGGGTGTCATAAGATGTGCGCAGTCTCGGTGTTTTCGTCAATCCTATCTTCTCCCTCCAGTTGACGCATGCAATCGTAAATGAGAGATTCGCCTGGATTCAATTAATTTTTCAGTCAAAACCAAATTTGTATGAAAATGGAAGTATTTGTCAGAAACGATTACCATGTTTTCGGACATCTTTCAGGCTTTACACTACCCACTAAGCTAAAGACAAATCGGGTGACTTGCAATAAAAACAGTGCTCTCCATTGATCACTCACAGGCTTGAGCATCTCAGCTACTTGGAGTTTAACCCAGAATTCCAGCAAATATAATTCTAGGTATCCCCAAGGTACAAGTAAAACCAGGGTTTTATACTTTCCGCCCATCCGTCATTACCCTAACGGGTAACACTTCTCCCCAAAACGAAGTCAAATGCTGCTTCCTGTCTTACCAAAATCCAGGCTATTGTTCCGAAACAGTTCAGCTTATCCAAAGCACAAAACAATGGAGTAGTGCTTCTTGGTAAACGTTGGCTTCAGTGATGGTACGAAACATGTATTCAACTCCACAAACTTTTTTCACGACTTACAGAAAAAGAGGTTCCGGGTTAATCAGGTCTGAACTACCCTCATTAGAGTGCGAGTGTACCGTTCAACAATAGTGCTTCAACTGCCAGGAGTTCAGGGTGATTCGTATTTAGATAATTCTAAAAATTATTCGACGTGTTGGAGAAAACAACAGAATGGCTTGCTAACTAAATTCTTCCTGTTAATCAATACCAAAATTAGATGACACTGATGAGATGCAAATGACCATTTGCATTGATCGGTTGAACGCAACGTTTCTCTATGGCGCTATACTTAAGATGTAAGTCTCCAAAGACATTATCATTCGTTACACTGGCTACTGTGTTGCGTGGAGAGTTCTGCTTCAAAATTTCATGTTAACTGACTGTTCCGTTGGGTTGAAGTGAGCGTCACAGAAATTGTGAGTTTCGGACAAATAACAAGTGGGTTAGCAGCGTGAAACAGGAGCGGAACAAGTCTTTCACCACAGGGAATCCCGTCCCCATGTTCAGGAAGAATTTAGAAATTTTTGAGAAATTTCACGGAAGACCTTTTGCGATGTAGGACCGCTCAATTAGCTCCTACTACCAACAAAACTCTGAGATTTATTGCCGTTCTAAGACTCCGATTTGCCTCTCTTTATTTTGTGACCTTTTTGTGTGAATGAACGAACGTGTTACAAAAGTCTCTGCCTGTTTCTTTAGCAGGGGTGCTTTAAGTGGATGACGATTTGCGCGGAGGCGTTTCATGGTAGCGCAAAAGCGTGCCTTTCCAATATCTCCTAGACGGCCACCAAAACGTCAGTTTTCATGGCCGAAAATGCAGCGCAAGCAAAATTTCGGTATGCCGCTTTTTGCAGGGACTGTATCTCACTTGCACAATTGGAGGTGGACCTGTGGCAAACAGTCAGAGTCTAGGTTTGGTCTGAATACGAAAGCTTCCAAGACACTCATCAACCTCCACAGGGTTTAGAATTTGAGGCTGTGGCATAGCACGTTCTAAGGATTTCTGCGAGCTCCGCAGTAACCTGTCTGCAAACTTTCCGATCGATATTCCTCTGCATGCTCGGTGTGCCTAGGCTAGCCCTGCATTCGGTCGCCTGTATGAACGAGCCAGATCTAATATACGGGTGGACAGAGGATCCCAGCTGTGTTTACTGACTTGATCAGTGCTTGACAGTGAGACATGGGCAACGTACAGGCAGCATACCAGAATACTTCATGATATGCTTATAAAACTGCGGAAAACTCTGACAGCTCATTACTGCTTTTGTTCTTGTCGGAGTTCACCCGATGGACGGGGTCGTCGATTTCTGTCCACCCTATGTTCTACCCAAACATCAAGTTTTACGCAACCGGTGAAATTTGCAAATTGATATATTTTGAACGGGAAGACCAAGTAAATCCATTTTATATCAAACTTCTCAGCTACATATGCTGATATTTGGCGTATCCACCCCTGGAAGTGGTTCGTTTGCTTGCTTATACATTACTACTATGCAATGAAACCTAGTCTAATAGACTACGTACCCCTTCCAATCTTTGCGTCATGAAGTGAACAACTGATTTCCTAATGGAAACAACCCTATCATTGTGCAAACACCTGGTCGTCATCCCAGTCACTTTGTCTGATACAACTTACTGCGGCAACTTACCAATAGTGCCCACCATCTTACTTTCAACTCTCCCGGTTCACTCCTTTGGGGGAAAGGCTTTCAGGCATCGGTAGACGCAAACACACCCCAAAACAGAATTATCAAATCACCCCAGGTTTTTCAGCATAATTTCACTTCCACTGAAAGTAATTAGATCAGAGAATCAACACAGCGTCAAACATCGCATTGACGGGAACATTATGACTGACTAGCGTAAATACACGAAAGTAAAATGGGTTGGACATGCTCACAGCACATGCACACCGCTGAAAAAGAGTGACTATGCTTCCAATAGTTTTGTCCCAAGACATTAATTAAGTGCTTTGCAACAGTTTTGCTGAGTCTACAGGTAAAAATTTCGCCTGGTGCTGTTTGATTCCTGCTTCAAGGCAGCTGCAGATCAAGTTTTGTGGTCGGATGGGAACTCAGTCGGGTGGGCAACATGACCAGTTCAGTGCTGAGCCAAACAGAATCTAACTCCTGGAGTTATGTACAGCGTGGAACACTTCGTTTTCCTGTTTTACTACTCCACACTCTTGTCAAGTCATGGTAACTGGTAACGATGTTGGCTGTCACAGCAAAAACACATCGATGTGTGCAGTTTGCGGGGCGGCCTGATCAGAATCAGACTAGCCGGTCATCAGCATCCTCACCTTCATACGCCAAGGAAACATCATTAAACTGACTGTGTAATCTCCCCCCCCCCCCCCCCCCCC